TCCCCTCCTGAATTTTGGAGCTGTGAGCAGCAGGAGGCCCTGAGGAGTGACCGCCATGGGCTTCCTTTGCCAGGAGCTGCACCACAAGGTTCACGGAACCACTTCCCTGCCTCTTCTCCCGACTTCGAGATGGAAACGCTTTCGAGAAGCAAACCACGGAGGGCGTGGGAGTGAGCTCCTGGCAGCTCTTGCCTGCGTGCCCGGCAGCTGGGGTGGGCTTTTCAGCTGCGTTTTGCTCCCCAACCCGGTGGCTTTTGCTGCAGGTGCTCCAGTTGTTCTGCTGCAGGACGTGTCTCCAGACCTGAGAGACCCGCGGGGAGGTGGGCTGGGGAATCACCTTCAGGGATTGCAATGGTGGGCAAGGAGGCAGGGGGAAAAAAGAAAACTAACTTCTGTTTTGTGAGTTTTAAGGAGAAATGGGATCCTTCTCGCCGCAGACGGTGCGTTGGAGGGGTTCGCTTGCGTCCTGAGGTGGGACTCCGCTCAGTGCTCTGCGCGTGCTGCTTCTCCAGCCGACCTCCTTCGTGCCTCTGCTCGGCGATTTCATTGGGGAAATCACCGCCTTCGCCTTTTTAATTTGATTCTCTGTGAAATTAGCAGCTAGTTTTCGTTAATCCTCTGAGCCTGACTCCTGGGCTCATCATTGAGCCCAGCAAGGCTCGCTTGAACACTTTGTGCTCTCCCAAAGCATCTCCTGGGAGGCCCTGGCTCAGGCGGGGAGCTCTTAACCTCGTTTCCAAGCTTTGCTCTCCTAATGCGAGCAAGAAACGTAAGGACTCAAAAATAGGAGCCCTAAAAAAGCTTTAACGCCCTTGGTCTCATTAGATGATGTTGGAGCTTGGAGAACAAAGTAGCTCTGAAGCTCGGAGGAGAAAATCGGGTTAAAAAAGCCCCCGTGGGCTGGGGTTGTTTCCACGCTGGGTGTAGCTGGGTGCAAGTCCAGGCTGTAGCGGCGAAGGATGTCGAGGAGTTTCCAGGGTTTTTTGGGTTGCAGGAGGTGGGACGGCGTGGCTGGGAGCCGGGAATGGATCGAGATTTCCCCTGGCTGCCCAGAAGGCCAATGGTCTCCTGGGGTGCATTCAGAGGAGTGTGGGCAGCAGGGTGAGGGAGGGTCTCCTCCCCCTCTGCTCTGCCC